AGCTGCCGAAATCAAATTTAAAGAATTAATTTCGCAATTTTATCTCGTAAACACTTCTCTTGAGAAAGAGAATCGCCGACTTGTTTACGAATAGCATTAGCATCTATCTTAAACTTTTTTTTAGACGCCATGCTGGCGCTGCTGCCTTCTCTTTAATATTTAATTTACATCATCGGCGTCGCAGTAATTGCGCAGTCACAGTTCAGGTACCAGACCCCAAAGACTCGACGTTCGTAGATGTCAGGGGTGTCAGGGCTGACAAATATATACCCTTAATGAAAAGCATAACAAATGTGTCGCCATATGGATTAGACGAAACATCCACACACATTGTTAGATCCTGCTTAAAAGGCTTCGCACATAGGACTAGACTAACAAATCAATGTTTCGTTTCTTTAGCAATCGCAAATGAGACTTTGTATTTAGATTCAAAACCAACTCGTTGCATGTTGACCCGACATCGAAAAGCAATATCTCTACAAATACTCAAGGTTATGCCATCCGCAGCCAATCCGTCCAAATCCATGCAATTAGCATTCTTAAATGCCATATTAATTCGTCGAGATGTACGAAACTCGTTAGATAAAATAAATATCATAAAAAAATATATAGAGCTACCGACCAACCGCCATATTGATCGTGAATTAAGCAGTATGGAAACACAATATTCATTTCCATATACGAAAAGGTGGTGATTCAATGATAACATCACGTTATCAGCTTTAGATATTTTCTTTAAAAACTTGTTCAACGAATCGGATAGAAGCAAACGGGAACGAGAAAAAGAAGTTGTGAAATCATTGTAAGTGTGTTTATTTCTATTTAAACCCGACAACTTTACTTGTTCAGGGAAAGGCATGTTAGAGTTGTTTACTAGTAAAAACTATGTACACACCTTGGGTTGTGGTGGACAAAATATTGAATCATTGGTTATTTTTATTGTAGATCACTAGCTGCCTGTGAAGGAACACACAAAATTTTATTAGAATGCTTCAAAAACAATTGGATTGAAGGTTTTCAAACTTAAATGATCTCCCCAGTGGCAAATCGATGGTTCGAATCCTACCATAACCGTTTTTCATTATAAATTTCGTGAAAAGAAATACAGTAAACTAAGTAACCATGGCCATTCCCCACAAGATCTTGTAGGCTAGTGGCTAAGACAATTGTCTCCCAAGTGGTAAATCGATGGTTTGAAACCTGCTATAACCTTTTTCATTATGAACTTCGTGAAAGACCTTGTGCTCTAGTGGCAAAGACAATAGTCTCCCAAGTAGTAAATCGATGGTTCGAATCCTACCGTGACCGTTTTTCATTATGAACTTTGTGAAAACGATAAAGTAGATCAAATAAACGTAGCCATTCCCCGACGAACTTGTGGTCTAGTGGCTAACACGAGTGTTAAATCGATGTTTCGAATCGTGCCAAAACCATTTTTGGTTACGAACTTCGTGGAAAAATAAAGTAAACTAAATAACCATGGTCATCCAGCACAAGACCTTGCGGGCTAGTGGCGAGGACGATGGTCTTCCAAGTGTTAAATCGATGGTTCGAATCCTACCATAACCGTTTTCATTATGAACTTCGTGAAAATAATAAAGTAAATTAAGTAACTATAACCGTTCAGCACAAGATCTTGCAGTCTAGTGGCGAGGACGATGGTCTCTCAAATGGTAAATTGATTGTTTGAATCCTGCCATAACCGTTTTTCATAATGAATTTCGTGAAAAGAATAAAGTAAACTAAATAACCATGGTCATCCAGCACAAGACCTTGTGCTCTAGTGGTGAAGACGATGGTCTCCTAAGTGTTAAATCGATTGTTCGAATCCTACCATAACCTTTTTCATTATGAACTTCGTGAAAAGGATAAAGTAAATTAAATAACAATAACCGTTCAGCACAAGTCCTTGTGGTCTAGTGGCGAAGGCAGTGGTCTCCCAAGTGTTAAATCGATGGTTCGAATCCTACCATAACCGTTTTCATTATGAACTTCGTGAAAAGGATAAATATTATATAACCATACCGTTCAGCACAAGTTCTTGCAGTCTAGTGGCGAAGACAATCATCTCCTAAGTAGTAAATCGATGGTTCAAATCCTGCCATGACCTTTTCATTATGAACTTCGTGAAAAGAATAAAGTAGACCAAAAAATATGGCCGTTCAGCACAAGACCTTGCGGACTAGTGGCAAAGACAATTGTGTCCCAAGTGGTAAATCGATGGTTCGAATCCTCCTTTGACCTTTTTCTTTATGAACTTCGTGAAAGGATAAAGTAAACTAAATAACCATGGTCTTTCAGCACAAGACGTTGCGGTCTAGTGGCGAAGACGATGGTCTCCCAAGTGTTAAATCGATGGCTCGAATCCTGCCATAACCGTTTTTCAATACGAACTTTGTGAAAAGGATAAATAAATTAAAATAACAATAACCGTTCAGCGCAAGATCTTGTAGTCTAGTGGTGAAGACAATTGTCTCCCAAGTAGTAAATCGATGGTGCGAATCCTGCCATGACCTTTTTTTTATGAACTTCCTGAAAAGAATAAAGTAAATTAAATAACCATCGCCGCTCAGCACAAAGCCTTGCAGTCTAATGGCTAAGACAACTGTCTCTTAAGTGGTAAATCGATGTTTCGAATCTTGCCAAAACTATTTTTTATTATGAACTTCGTGAAAGGATAAAGTAAACTAAATTACCATGGTCATCCAGCACAAGACCTTGCGGGCTAGTGGCGAAGACGATGGTCTCCCAAGTGTTAAAATCGATGGTTCGAATTCTACGATAACCGTTTTCATTATGAACTTCGTGAAAAGAATAAAGTAAATTAAGTAACTATAACTGTTCAGTAGCATCGAGATCACAATCACTGACAAAAGAATAAGATGCCCTGATCAACAGTTCAAACTCCTGAAATCGACGATGTACAGTTCGAACAGAGATATTTAACATTTTTGCGATGTCGGTGGCACTAAAGTCATTATCGATTAAGTATTCCAACTGATTCTTTGTCACAGCCAATCTTGGTCTTCCTACGCCTCCCGAATGCTCTACAGGGCATCGATATGATAAATCTAGTGCACTGTTACATTCGTTTAAACACACAATTGCATCCCCAAATGTTCATGGTAACATCATAAAGCCAAGTTGCGAAGAAATAACAAAACTAACATCATAATGCGAAACTAACATCATAATGCGAAACTAACATCATAATGGGAAACTAACATCATAACGGGAAACTAACATAATAATGGGAAACTGAACATCATAATTGCAACTAACATAAACAACAAGACTACTACATAAACCCAAAACAGCAAAAGAATTCCAAAACTGTCTCATTTGATAAACACATCAGAACTAGAAACCTAGTTCGTAATATAGAATGATCACATCAAAATACCATAAGTTAATTTTGTCTTTCATAACGCTCCATACTAACCGGAGACACCCTTTTTAGAGATTATGGATCATGTAGGGTGGACACGTCGTCATACTGCTATTTAGTAGGGACCTTAAGCATGTAGAACGCGAACGCGACGACGACGGCTATCAATACAATGGGTCATTGAAAAGAAATGAATATTTAAAGACCCATGATGGGTTTTAGACGTCGTCTTCGTTCTGTTTACAACGAGAAAACGTCGTTTTTTACGTCTTGCCTAGAACGGTTGCATTTCAGGCCCAGCGAGCCCTCCCTCGAATTAGGCTCTATAGAATTGTCCTTAAACATAAACACAATGTTTTTAACGCCTTATATCTCACTGAATTGGTAGAATTAATAATATAAAACAACAACTTTGTCATAGCATTTATTTAAAGGAGAATTTCAGCCGCGTCGTCGTCGTGTTGCCGTCCTACATACTTAAGGTCCCTATTATCTACAACTACTTGCGAAGGCTCTCAATCCCGACGGAGCGTCCGCAAAGCTTTCATCACCGACTGCTAGCACGGTCGACCAACCCTGGCAAGATATTAACCAGTTAAAACGCTTTGTGTGTGCCTTCCCACCACCTCTACCTATCCAAAAGCGACAGCGTCCGACGTAAGTTGCATTTGTCGTATTGTCAAGCGCAAAGGACTATAAACATAGAGCGAACTGTATCGCACATATTGGTAGCGTATTATTGACGTCCAAACGAAGTGTACTTATTCGGGGGACAGGGGCTAGAGTGTGGGAATGTGGGAATACATGTAAAAGAGCAAGGGATTTACCCTCAGCGAATATTTTAAATATTCACAACACGTATAATGATATGCAAAGTTAAAATTTACCATAACAATGCTCTGCTTGTGATTAGAAGGAAATAGACACGTGTGTTAAGGCTATTCTCCATTACCGTCCGCTTCACCCGCGCGGGCGTAGCGGCCTTTGAAATTCTGCCCATGCGACCGTGACCGGCCTGAAAAACAAAGTGCGCTTCGCCCGCGCGGGCGGAGCGGATATAATGGAGAATGGCCTTTAGACATGCGGAACATAAAAGAAGGCCGTGTAACACAGATTACGCCATTCATGCTCAGTTTATGTCGCAGAATTCACTGGCTTCGTTCAGGAAATTGACCTGCACACGCTGGTTTTTCTTTTATCTTTAATTTACAACAATTTTACATAACAATTCTCTTACAACAATCTCAAAACAATCTGAACCAATCTCGAACAATCTCCATATAATACAGTTCTACACATTTACTTATAGTCCCGGTTCGGAAACCGTTCTGACGTACTTCGTTTAACTCAAACCACTAACTTGGCACAAACAAATTACCTTGGACATTGTGCCCGCGTTTCGATACATTTTGGCAAAAACAACTAGTTAATACATTTAGGATCGTTTCCTGTTATTTTTCGCTATTTTACATTCATCCTGTTTTTCCATGCATTATGTAGTAAATATATTTATTATTCACATAAACACACTGACAGTGACAACCACGCACATTTACTAACATATACACACATACACACACATACACACAATATTTCCGACACTCTCCCCCCCTTGACTCGCCTACGAGTCAAGCATCGCCTGTGTTTTCCACCTTGCATCCAAGGCGGCCTTCCTTGCAACCCTCTTAACAACATTTTCCTTCTGCACCGCCTCAACCTTTTTACCAACTTCCACTCGACCAGCTTCCAACGGGTACAAGTGCTGCACGGCCCTATTAATCCTCTGCTTGCAACCATTTGTCATTACACAAACCTTACCACCACGAACAACTCCATCCTTGCCGACAATCAACTCCTGCACAATACCCGTCTTCCATTCTCCTCTCTTTTTTCCCTGCTCGAACACAATAACAACATCTCCTACACTCACTGAAACCTGCCGCTTCTCTGATATACCTACCTTGTGGAACTCTCTCAAGTTTGTGAGATATTCCCGTCTCCATCTATTCCAGAAATGCTCTACGACCGTACCTATATACTTAAACCTAGCTATGGTGTCTCTCTTAGATTCATACTTACCCTTAACCTGGGTTTGGCTGTCTGGTAATGCAATAATTCGCCTGCCGTGAATCAAGTGTGAGGGTGTCAATACTTCGCTCCCTACCTCATCGTACTCGTAGGTTAAAGGTCTGTCATTTACTGTCGCTTCTACTTCCACTAATATCGTTCTTAATTCATCGAATGTAAGTTTCGCGTTTCCAATCACTTTCCTCAAGCACGTTTTAACTACCCCGACTAGTCTTTCGAAAAAACCTCCCCACCAAGGGGCCCTTTCTAAATTGAATCTCCAGTCTATTCCCTTGTTACTCAAACAATCCTTTACTTCGCCGTTATCAAATAAATCTTGTAAAATTCGTTTGCTAGCCTTGAACGTTTTAGCGTTATCAGAGACCATAATTTTTGGCGTTCCTCTTCTGCCGACAAATCGCCTAAAACATCGCAAAAATGTTGGCGCTTTCAAATTCTCAACTAGCTCCAAATGCACAGCTCGCGTCACGCAGCACGTAAATAGCGCTATATAAACCTTATTCATACTCTTGCCGTTCTTAGCTTTAACAAATAAAGGCCCCGCGAAATCAACGCCTGAGTTTGCAAATGGTGCAGACTTTGTAACGCGAAATCTTGGCAACGCCGCTTGGCGCGGTTTGGTACATGGCTTGCATTTCCATTTCTTGCATATTACACAAGTTGCTAACACTCGTTTCACCTCTTGTCTTCCCTGAGGAACCCAATATTTTGACCTAAGCTGTGCTAAAGTAGACCTTACACCATTGTGCAAAACATAATCATGACAACGTTTTATAACCAGGTTGGTAAATATATGACCCTTGGGCAAAACTATTGGCTCTCTTGCTTCTATGTCTAAATCGGATTTGCCTAATCTTCCGGTACAATACAATATGCCATCTCTTTCTATTAACCCGTACTGTCGTTCTAACTGGTTATAACTAGTTTGGTCTTTTAAAACTAATTGTGCTACCTTTATCCACTCTACCTCAGCTTCTCGCAACTCACTCTCATGCAACGTTCCAGTAACTATGCTCTCCCCTGCTTTCTTTCGTTTCAAATTTGCAACAAATCGTTTCAACCAACCTGTCACTCTTAATAATCTAGTAAGAGAACTGAACTTATTTACTTTAATCAAATTTGAAATTCCGTACAGAGAATCTACAGTTATCATCAAGTTAACACTCAATTTTTTCTCTTCTCCCTTACTTTCTGGTGTGGGTAGAATATCCCCCAATTGTGGCCAGCCACTTGGTGACCCTGTTAGCCATCCCGGTCCTAGCCACCAAAGTTTGCTATTTTTTAATTCCGAGACCAAAACACCTCGGGACCCTAAATCAGCGGGATTTTCCTTTCCCGGGCAATGTCCCCAATCAAGCTTATTGGTCAATTTCAAGACCTCGTCAACTCTATGTCTAACAAACTGTTTCCACTCTCCCGTGTTGCGTATCCAACACAGCGTCGTCTTACTGTCCGTCCAATACTTAATACCCTCAAACTTATACTCAGATTCTAAGGTATTCTTTACTGCATGCATCAACTGCGCCAAAATCCTGGCCGCCATTAATTCTAAACGTGGTATTGTTAATTCTTTTAGCGGCGCAACTCGAGTTTTGCTAGCGATCAACTTTACATACGCTTTACCGCTCTCAATTGTAACAAGATATACAACGGCACAATATGCTCTTTTTGACGCATCACCGAAACCATGCAACCAATGTTTGGCTCCTCCTGTACTAATTCTATCGCCCACTCGTTCTTCCCTATACCTCTCAAGTATCACTTCCTCGGTCTCCCTAAGATCTGCCAACCACCTTTCCCACTTTTCTCTCAAGTTCCTACTGAATACATCATCCCAATCTAGCCCGCTGACACAAATATCTTGAAATAAAATCTTAGCCTTTGCAACCGTAGGGCTTATAAGTCCTAGGGGGTCAAATATACAAGCAAGAAGGCTCAAAACATTTCTCTTCGAAGGCTCTAACCTTTGCGCTTTCTGGGTCAAATGGCCAAAATTAAACTTAATCGTATCTCCCACGCAATCCCACTCGAGCCCTAATACCTTATCAACTTGATCTCCGCCTCGGCACGCAAGTGCTGTTTTGGCATACGTTGGCTCAAGTCCCTTGGCACCGTTTTGCTCTGAGTTTTCCCTTTCAATGCGCAACCGCAATTCGTTGTTGTTTGTGCGCCATTTACGCAAATTAAATCCGCCCTCTTTCAAGCGCTCTCTAGCTTTCGTATAAAGCAAATACGCGCTTTCTGTAGACCTTTCACCGGTTGCTAAATCGTCTACGTAAAACCCTCTTAGCATTTTTTCGGCAAATTCCGCATCCATCAGCGCATACTTACCTATGTGATGTCTTAGCGTGGCATTAAGCAGGAACGGCGACGAATTCACTCCAAACACTACCCGACAAAATCGATACACTATAGGGTTTAAATTGTTGCGCAAAACATCATCAACCCACAAAAATCTAAGACTGTCCCTATCTCTTTCATGCACTTCAATATTTAAAAACGCTTTTTCTATATCCGCAACTAGCGCTACACTTTGCTCTCGGAAACGGACAAGAATATCGAACAAAAGCGGGTTAAGAGACGGTCCAGCATGCAGACAATCATTTAAGGAAACACTAGACTTTTGCGCTTTCGCCGACGCGTCATACACTATCCTAACTTTTGTAGTTTTAGCATCTCTACGAACCACGGCTTGGTGGGGAATATAATGTACCTTAGAATCCGGACCTATTTCATCCTTGCTTACTCTTTCAATGATACCTACCTGTTCTTGATTCTTAATTATTGCGTCGTACTCAGACAGTAACTCAGGATCCTTAGTGAGACGCCTAATCTGGCCTTTCATGCGTTTGATACTCACCTCATAATTCGACGGCAACGGATCGTGATTCTCCCTCCAAGGTAGACCTACTGAATAACGCTGCCCATTAAACTTTAAATCGCTGATAACTGACTCATGCACGTCTACATCTGCCTTAATCCCAATACTCTCTAACTCCCAAAACCTACCAACATCTACGGCTGGCTCACAACTTACAATACTCACAACCGCACTATCATCCGCATCTCGCCTTGCCAATCCAACTGGCCCAGACAACACCCAGCCCAACAAAGTCTCGATCGCCACAGGCTCATCAGCCTTACCACGCACAATACGATCCCCGTGAAACATCCACAAATAATCAGCACCAACCATAACATCGATTTCCAACTCTACATTAGACATACATACATCTGCCAACCAAAGACCCTTCAAATGCGGGTAACTATCCCGTACCCGCTCCAAATGCTGATTTCTAATGAAAGAAATCTCTGGCACAACATAGGCCTCAACCGACACAACCTCATCACCTCGAACAGACTTCAAATCTAACTGAACAACTTCTCGCACCACAGACTTCAAAGCTCTCTGCCCAAACGTCCCAACACTCAACGATTCTCTCCGCAACATCTTACAACCCAATTCTCTAGCCCGTTTTGTAGTGACAAAGGACCTTTGACTCCCTGAGTCAAACAACACTCTCACTCGCGCAGTTTTCCGCCCAACCAACATTGCCTGAGCCGTCTGCAACGCCACACTACATCCCGACTTAACAACCTTATTTTTTGGACTAACAACTAAAGTAGCTATAGTACCCGTGCCATTGGTAGGACTTAAATTCCCTTCCTCCCCTTCTACCTCCAGGCCCTCTGGGTTATTCTCCGCATCACACAAGGCTGTGTGATGTTCTTTTTTGCATGCACTACATTTTACTCTTATACTACAGTTCCTCGCTACACTGTAAAAACTGAATGGTTGAAATGACCAAAAAAAAAGGTTGCAACCATTTAAAATGGTTGTTTCAACCAATTAAATTGGTTAAAACCAAATTAAAATGGTAGAAATAACCAATAAAAAATTGGTAAAATGAATATGAAAGCTCATATTGGTAAAAACAACCAAATATATTTAGTAGCAACAAATAAAATTTGGTTAAATTTACCAATTACTCTTTGTGGTCAATGGGGTATATTTGTAGACTTCTGGTTCTATGTTCTATTGAATCCAATAAAATATGCTAGAATGCTATAGCACATTCTAAATCCTATGGCTATAGAATATTCTATAGGACTTCTTATGATCTTATGCTATATAGAATTCCATTGCCGTATTCTATAGAATTCACAAATCCTATAGAATTTACAAATCCTATAGAATATTAAATCTTAAAATTAAATTTCTCAGCAAAAATCACTCGTTTTGTAAGGACAAATCACACATGCATGTATCTGTAAACTGTCTTCATAATATACCTGTTCGCAGGTTACGTGGCGGGCGTTTTGCCCAAAGAGGACCGCAAGGTTATGTGGGACTTGTATAACCGACACGCGTTATTTTCAAATTTTGAGCGCGTCTTTGACTCTTTGTCATCGGTTCAAGGTTTTATAGTAGAATTTAGTGAGTTTTTCTTTCGTATTTTAACATAAAATACGCGTTATTTGAATTTGTCAATGAGTAGTCATGCGAAATTGGTGAAACACGCTGGATTAATATGCGAGGAGATCCGAATTATTTGTGAATAGTGACTGTGATCGCGAGGAAGAAGTAATTGTGTCATGGCCATGTGGAATTTCTAAAGTTGATAAGAAAATAATCAAAGGTTCCATTCAACTATCTACAATTTCAACAACAACATGTGTACAGCTAAAGTATTATAATTCAGTGGTGAGTGTGTTTGTATATAGTATATGTTTATATTTAAAATATTGACTATTTTTTCAGATCAGACTTTGTATGGCTGCTGGACACTTTTTCAAAACTTTGTCTAGCTGTCACATGCCTACTAGTATTAATTAAATATGAAATGCCCTCTATATATAACCATGCACTGAGTCATTTTAATAAAAGATTACTTTATTCACTCCATCAAGGCTTCAAGATCACCTTTAAGTGCAAGATTCTTGTGACTGATGCTGAATCAGAAATCCTCAAATTCTGATGCTGAATCAGAAATCCTCAAATTCTGATGCTGAATCAGAAATGGCAAGTATTATTGTATTTATGCTGTCAAAACTCAACAACTGTAAATCCTACTTCTGGTGAATCATATAGATAATATAATATACCTTTTATTTATATCATTATAAATAGGGCCATTACAACTATTTCTGTCAATGCTTTTGCAGTACATTTATAAATTCTATAGCTATATCATGGCATCATGCTAAGAATGAATAAGGTGTCAAATGTTTAAATTTCATATTTACTGTTAAAATTTACAGATTTTCTTATATCCAAACATATTAACCAAAGGTCAAAATTTGGTTTATGCAATTATGGGCATGTCAAGGATGCAAGAACAACTTTGCTCTCATTCCATCCCTGGGAAACTTTCAAATTATGCCTTTAAAGAAAAGGATGCAAAACCCCAACTCGACCCAGAGAAAGTTAAGAGTATATGTGGTAAGTAGTAATTGTTAGTAACTATTTGTGGAAGTTAATATATCTTATATACATATCTTGGTTTATCTAATTGTTGACTTTTACTTTTTCTGTGTGTAGAGCATCATTTCGATGCACATGGTTAAGATGCCCAAACATTGATTCAAAGAAGCCATCAATGCTGGCTGTTCTGGAAAAGAACAAGAACAAAGATGTCCAACACATTATTGGTCTATTAGAGGATTGTCACCCGAACTAGAAAAAGGTATCTACAGATATATATGTATATAATATACAATGTTGAACTATGCAAATCACATTTATTATGTTGCCTGCTGAATCTTGTAATCAAACTTATTTAATAGAAATTGAAAACCATTGCATCTACACTGCCCCGCTGCATCAGTTGAGGCAGAGAAAGACCTGGACAATTATTTTGGGAAATTGTCCCTGTAAATATTAAACTATAGTTCAAGAGTTACTCCATAAGAACTAAAAATATGCTCAAGTGGCTGCTTGTCATGTGTAGGGTCTTACTCTTTTGTGTCCCAGGATTTTTGCCATATGTAAATGTTTTATTTCCAAGCTTAGGAATATAAAGTTTTATAATTTTTAACTTTTATTTTAGGATGACAGTGGTGTTGAAATTTAGACCATTGTAAAAAAAGAACATTCCCGAAGTTGCTATTAACTGGATCTCTTGGTTACATCCATTCACTGGACCTTTTGGCTGAAGGCATGGTAGCAATAAAGTTTAAGCAGTTTTCCATCTTAAATGCTGTTGTGTGTTTGCTGACTGCATTGTATGTATCCAACGCAGAGAACCCTAAAGATGGAGGTGGGTAGACAAAGAATGTGTTCCTTCTTCTGGACCAGATATTACTAACAAACAGACGGAAAAACGAACATTCCAATTGGAGTTAAAAACTTTTTACCCAGCTTTTGAGAACCTGGAAATGACTTAGTATAGATAGATGATCCTAGTAAGATAAGTGTTGTGTAGTACTTTGTATTATGTATAATGCTAACCATTAGGTAATTTATTTATTATATTAGATCTTTTATAATACATATGTGTGTTTGACAAATTTGATTTGAAGTGCTCTGAATTTCAGGATAATTTAACCATCCTTAATTGGTTGAAATAATTGGTCAAAAAACCATTGCACATTGGTTACAACCAAATTCAATATAGGTTACATCAACCTATTAAATATTGGTAGATTCAACCAATATTAATATTGGTAATTTTAACCAAAACGAATTTGGTAAAAAAATAACCAAATTTTAATTGGTTGTCCTGGTTGCATCCAGGAGAACCTTTTTTTTTTGGTTGTTTCAACCATTCATTTTTTACAGTGTATGTGTCCCTTATTTAAGCATTTGAAACAACGAGAATATTTTCTAATTATTTGCTTACGGTTCTCCAGAGTCTTTACTTTCTTGCAATCTTCATGGCGATGCTGACCAAGGCAAAACGCACAATTCGCCATTCCCCCTTTCGTCAAAAACGCTTGCGTCGTTGTTGTTCCACGATTCCAACGTCTGTCTCCCCTTTCACGCCCGTCCTTACCACGCTCTGCGTCTTTGTGATGATGCTCCTCACGCAACGAAATTTCCTCTTTTAGTGGTGTCAGTAAATCGTCTAGAGTCCACTCATGATAATTTTTTCCCCGTGTAATTAATAGTCGCACAGATTCCGGTAACTTGTCGAGGACCGATGGCACAACAATGGACGAATACGATTCTTTGTCGACTCCGAGTGCTTCCAAGCCCCTGTAATTTGTTTCGACCCTGTCACACAACCGTCGTAACGAGGGAACATCGTTTTCATCTCTCACGCCGTCAACCTTCAACAGTTTTTTCATATGGGCGCGCTGAACTGCCGATTTCTTTCCGTATCTCTCTTTGAGAATATTCACCGCCGATACATAATTTGCCGAAGTCAACGAAAACCCCGCAATACATGCCTTCGCCGATCCGTCTACGAGCCCCCGTAAATAGTTAAACTTATCTACGTCTGATAAGCCATCGTTACGGTGTATGGAGCTTTCGAACGAGTCCCAAAACTCTTGAAAATTACACAGATTTCCGTCGAATCTTTTCACTTCTAGTTTTGGTAGCTTGGCACGTACCTGCGCGACATGTCTCTTAGCAGCTGTGCTCACCTCGCTCGAGTCTTCACTCGCGGCAAAACTCGTACTTGCCCCCACATTTACTTCATCTACCGCTCCATTGCTAATTCCCGGCGAACTAACAACAGTTAACTTCAGTTTCTCGTCAAGACGCTTAATCAGTTTTTTCGCCTCTGCTCGTAACTTCGACGACTCTTCGATTTCTTTTGCGACTTCCTCTTCGGTCGACTCCTCGTCAGCCACGATGAACTCGAGAATCTCTGAATCCAATTCCTTCATGGCTCCGAGGGTTTCGTTTATCGTCTCCCGAACTTGTAGAGCGTCGACCCTTTTTTCATTAGTGTAATCATCGATCAGCTCCACAAGTTGCTGCGAGACTCTCTTCAGATGGCCGCGATTCCCACCTCTCGACTTCTTTTTTCTGACCAATTCTGTCATTTTTCTTACTCGCTATCCGGCTCGAAGGACCACTTGTCGCAGAATTCACTGGCTTCGTTCAGGAAATTGACCTGCACACGCTGGTTTTTCTTTTATCTTTAATTTACAACAATTTTACATAACAATTCTCTTACAACAATCTCAAAACAATCTGAACCAATCTCGAACAATCTCCATATAATACAGTTCTACACATTTACTTATAGTCCCGGTTCGGAAACCGTTCTGACGTACTTCGTTTAACTCAAACCACTAACTTGGCACAAACAAATTACCTTGGACATTGTGCCCGCGTTTCGATACATTTTGGCAAAAACAACTAGTTAATACATTTAGGATCGTTTCCTGTTATTTTTCGCTATTTTACATTCATCCTGTTTTTCCATGCATTATGTAGTATATTTTATTCACATAAACACACTGACAGTGACAACCACGCACATTTACTAACATATACACACATACACACACATACACACAATATTTCCGACAGTTTATACGCGGAGTGTTTGACAGAGAAACGAAAAAAATAAATTTGCGTGGGTCATACCCGCCTAGCACACACTAGCCAAGCTCCATCGGCTTGGCTAGGCCGCACGTACCGAAAATTATTCCCAATCTTAAATTTAACTGAGCTTGAGTGATGCGTGTTGTGAAATAGATTACTAACAAAAAGCCTATAGCTCTATACTATTATATAACGCTTAGTAAGCGTATTTTTGGGATTGACACACGGAACAGAATGTAACGAATCACAAAGATGCTACAGCTCTCAAGTATGATCATACTTGGGAAATGAGTTGCTTCATATTACTCTTAGTGGCTCTGCCAAGCTCATGCAAGTAAGCTGATGTCGTATCGTCATTTTGAGATATTTTCACATTTCACAGTGAAAGTCGCAAGGTATGGTCTTTACCGTAAGGAATATGAAATTTTATACAAGATTCTTTGTATCAATACTACATCGCTAGATTTCTAGTTTCCTGTCCTGCTACCAAACTGCATTTATACATATATATATATTCTTGGAGTTGTAATATGAGAAATTTATATCGCCCGACAGTCACGACAATTTAAACAACAAACAATTCGTTTTCTCGAGCGTAATATAAACCCGCAAATCTGATCGAATTCAATATTGAATTTGCGACATGGAAGATGTCACAATTATCATTGATGTCGAAATGTTAGTGAGAAGCGTAGGTAGAAAACCGTGCGTGGTTATGTTAGTGATAGTCTGTACAGCACAGGATTCGACGATTATGTCGGACTCAAGCGCTATCAATCGAGTGTTATAGCAAAGTTTCATCGATTCCGATCTGATCCAATACCTTATAGAATAAGATTTGATCTAATACCTTATAAAATAGTATCTGATTCAATACCTTATACAATAAGATCTGATTCAATACCTTATAAAATAGTATCTGATATTTCAATACCTTATAGAATAGTATCTGATTCAATACCTTATAGAATAGGATCTGATCCAATACCTTATTAGCATTACGCCACTGTCAAGACAGTGAATGTTGTGGAGACTGTAGATTTTGTGTGGCTTCATGAAAACAAATATGTGTTGAAGTAATTCATGATGACGCGCGTTATGAAGCAAAACAGATTAGTGGGTTAAAGATGTATTAAATCTATACGACGCGGACGTGACATGAAAACAGTCGCTAGTTTTAGAAACCTAGTTTTGACTTGTTTTATTTACGGCTTTGACCTTCCCTACCAAAAAGAGTCTATAATTTTTTTTATTCCTGTTTTGAAACTGTATACTTCACGTCCGCGTGCGTTCTGACATTCGTATATCTTAAAGATGAGGTAAAATCCGTTCTGCGCATATATTACGCGCATCAACACATTCCATCAGTGGGGGAGCAACTTGGAGGAATGTTAATGATATGCGATATTAGCGCGTTGTATACTTGTATTACAAACGGCAGTTCGGGAGCACAATTATTGCGGTGCCCGCGCCAAGTTTGGTACCGCATTATATTCTGCCTGTGAGTTTGTTTGTTCGCATCAATACGTTTCCTTAATCGCCTAGTAAAAATTCCTTGCACATGCTTGGAATGCTTGGAATTTTTTCCTAATTATTACTATTAATCTTGTTGTACGTTTGCCAAATTCCTTTTTTAAAGGAACGTTCTTTTTTCAATTTCAATCTCAAACTCTGATAATTGCGTGTATCTCTGCTTTTATGCACCCAAGAAGGACAAAAATACCACCATTTGATTCAGCGTAAGAAATTATACTTTCAGGTCTTAAATATATTTCTAAACAAGAGTATTCGCAGCGATTTGTGGCGTTTGAAAGACAAACGAAATTGAATTGTTGACAAATCGCTCAAAATTACTATGCTATACTTCACTAGTAATAGTAAGTTTGGTCTTTGATATCTTTCATATCGTTGGTTTTCTCTTTTAATTTTCGTCCTTAAATAAGTGGTTCGGTCTTACATTACGATTTATTTTATAGTACTTTGAGCCAAATATATTCTATTTCGAAGGTTTTAAAGTATAGTTTCAATAAGCGAACTTTATGACAAATCGCTCAAAATTATTAAACAAACTAAAAATGCAGTACGCTTAATCCTTGACTTCTGTATCGTTGCTTTTCTAGTTTCCGGCTCTACACCAGTTTATTCGTCTCACGTTTCTCTTCATTTTGATAGTATTTTTAGATAATATTTTTAGCCTAAATATTTTATTTCTGAAGATTTTAAAACGGCGCAATTTTGACCTTAATGTCCAACCAACCAGGCTGCGGCCGACAGGAGAATGTAAGTTGGTGATGTCGTTAGAAATGAGCGGACGTAGTATTTCTAGGCAAGCATTGCGGGCACCGCATTTTAGTACTGTGTCTGGTTTTATTTTATGTCGCAAGGCGAAGAGGCTCGAATTGCGAGTCACGACAATAACTTATCTTATCATATGGCTGCTAGAAAAAAGCAATATTATGCTGAAAGGAATGCTCCAAGAATTTATTTGTTGAATGAGGCCCGAAATGGCGAGGCTATTTGTTGTCGCTACAGACGCTACCTTCTCGCTTGTCCTACAATTACAAATATATAACGTTATAAATAACGGCGGTTTATTTACAAGCTTTGCTTTGTATTTTCTTCAAAATATAACAATATTTTCTTCAAAATGTAATATAAAATAAGCATATTCATCACAGATCACAGCCGGTCGAGCGAGAAGAAAATAAGAAAATTATAACAATGCATACGTCATGTAAAGATTATATAACCAACGTAAACAAACATTGTTATGCGCAGAATATAGGCTCAGAACGGATTTTACATCATCTTTAATCTTCCTTGTAAACGACGAAATGTTTGTTTATATTCAGCGCGCGAACAAATATTAAACTAGTATTTTTCGACCAAAACAACTTTCTCTGGGCCTCGAAAAAGTGAAAGAGGGTAAAAATGAACGGCTGCATATAAAATATCGCAAGTAAACCGTGCATTTATACTGTATGAGCAACAGGACGTCTGTCCCGAAATATAATCCTACCATAATTAGGGGGTGTTTATATGGAGGCGAGCTAGCCCTGGTACCCGGCTCGCTTTGCCGAGCTCATTTTATTTTGTGTTTAGATGGGAATTTGTCAGCCCGCTCAGCTGGGCTGGTTCAATGGCGGGAAATTCAATTTGAAAGATGGCGCGTAGTACGAATGTAATTTTAGGTATATTTTTTATAACGATCCAAATGGCAGTCTATATGACAATGGTCATGCAAATGCACGGTTTGATTTTTTTGATTCACCAAAAACCTGCTGGTAATAGTTGCCTTCGAAAGTAAAATAAGTCGTATTGAGACAAAAGGATAAAAGATCGATTATATCCTCCACAGGTAACGATGTTCTTTGTGATAAAGAAACATCTTCTGTGAGTCTTTTTTCAGCAAGTTTGATGGCAAGATTGACAGGCATTTTGGTAAACAAGGAAACGACACCAAACGATACGAGCACTTGGTCTGCGTTTAGAGTTTCACCTCTAATAAATTCAGCGAAATGAACATCAAAAGGCGGTTTCGAGCTTAGACAGTTCAAAATCAACCTTGGCGGAACACGTGTGAACCATAACATTGCGTAGAACGATTCAAAAGTCATTACCACTAATGATCGTTATGGACAAAGGCGTTGTTTGGAAGCCTGGCATATTAATGCGAGTCTTTGTGCCCTAAATAGGGATGACGGAAGCTATTTACCAAAAGAATATTTACATCTGATTGATAGATGACGTCATTTTGAGAGCATATAAGGAACTGAGTTTCAACATCAGATCACCCCTGATGAAGACACTAGACCGGAGTGTCGAAACGTTGGGTCGTGAAGTTAATCTTTGTGTGGTGATTACTTTCATTTATTAAAACCAGAGTAGCGATAATTAAGATGGATTATATACCTGGTTGCCGTGAACTCATTAACTTCAATTCGTTACCTTACATTTATTAGTACCTTTCCTTTCAGGAACACGTCAACCTACAAGGACCGAACGAATGTAAGTCAACTTTACCGTCATAAATATTTTTCTCCAGATTTATATAATTTGTGACTATCATTGCAGCCAAAATTCAGGTAAAAGTTTAATATAAACATGGTGTATTAAAAAACTATTACACTTACGCGTAGTTATAGGGAATTAGATTGAGTTCTTCGGACACCTCCCTGTACAGAAAGTTTGTGGAAAATATTGTTTTTTGCAAGTAAAAAAAGAGTGTTTTAAGCAAACATATATGACATGACTATATATAGTCCGGTTTCAGTCGACGGGCCTAAAAATTGAAAAGGTTTTATAAGTTATTAAAGTTTCAGATATATCGGGTGCAGCTATAGACATTAGGGAGAGTGCAGGAAACTTCGATTTTATCTGCTAGTATTTTATCAAATCAAGTAGAATTTGTATTATCTTAAAGCTAAAACATTTATTTATTTGTATACAAGTTTAGTTCACTTCAAAAGCTTTTCTACAAGGCATATGGTAAAACGCGGACTGGACTGGACTTGTAAAACACGGACTGGACTAAATTAGTAAAACACGGGCTGGACTAAATTAGTAAAACGCGGACTGGACTAAATTAGTAAAACGCGGACTGGACTAAATTAGTAAAACGCGGACTGGACTAAATTAGTAAAACGCAGACTGGACTTGTAAAACACGGACTGGACTAAATTAGTAAAACACGGACTGGACTAAATTAGTAAAACGCGGACTGGACTGGCAGCCGTGCAGGTGCTCCCCATCTAAATTTAATGCAACAGCAAATTTATAAATTTACCTACTCACCAACTGGCAATAAAGTTGAATGATTCCTATCTCAATTACCTGCATGTAAATTTCTTGATGCATTTTGCAACATCAGCTGCAGCTTTGCTCTTTTTTGGAAAAAAATCCACAAACTTGGTAAAATAGTCTGTGAATGTACAGACATACTTGAAACCTTCAAGGGTTGTTGGCATTGGCTCTACAACAACATACTAAATTGAGCACCTGCTGATGGATGAAAACTTCATTTCATTTCAACTGCCATAGAATCACTGTGGTGGTGGACTGGTGGTGCAAAATCTCTGAGATTTCCTCTAAGGTTAGGATAGCCTTTTTCCGAACCCCTTTTTTCCAGCAGTGTAAAACAGCTCATTATCTACAGCGGGACATTGTAAAACACAAATTAACTTCTGGGATGATGCACTTGGAGAATTCACCTGCAACCTTTGTTTCAATAACGTATATAACATTGCATGGGCAACACAACAAGATCAATTTTAATTTTCTGTGTGAGCACTCTTCTTTTCAACTCTATGAGAATCGTTTTTAATAATATACAAAGATGCAAAAATCAATCATGTCTGTGTTGACTAATGTCTAGTTTATCTAAGGTATTGAGTCTGTGATATTGATTGATTCAATAATGTGTTGCAGTGTTGCTTATTTATATATCTAATAAACTGCAACTAAAATTATTGTTAAAACAAAAAAAACGAATAAATACTAAATATTAGCTATAATTATTATCTTATAAATTACTTGTATCATCCAGAACGTAGTGTTTTGCATGGCCACGAACTACACGTTGTTGATTCTTTGTCAAACCATTCAAATGTTTGCCATGGCGCAGGTAGTGCAGAATTCGCTCGCACTTTTCTTTGTGTTGAAGCATGCGTTTTTCTCTGTTCCTCGGTTCAGGTTCACTCGATAAACTCGTTCCAACAGCAGGCTCTTGCTGTGGAACCATTTTTCTTCTTTAATACCAAGCAATTTAGTAAGATTTTTGAACGCGTGTGAGAATTGTGCTCTGTTTGACAGCCAGCGAGAGAAAAGGGATAACTCAGACCACGAGGAAATGTTGTTATGCAAAACCACTGACTCACGCATGCGCATAATATGCGCATTGTGATCAATTGTGATAGAGGATGGCTCAGACTGGGGAAGCAATGAGACCGCTACACCGGCGGAGTTTGACGCTGCCATATTCATATAGTAAACAAGCAAGTTCGTTGGCGACTAGAGACTTGACGCTGAAGCAATCGACAAATTATGGCAATTTTTATCCGAGGAAATATTAATCATAGCGATGACTGTTTGATGTTATCTCTAGGGGTAAACAGTGTGCTTTTAACAGCCCACAATGGCAATGGTCGCTAACGACATTAAATACTTTTTTTAATACAAAGCGACAATGCCGACAAAAGGTATATAAAGGCGATGAATAATCACTTCATCAATTTGCCACCAGGTGCCGTGTATTTATCCGCGAAAGACCATCCAAAACTTTTTAGTGTATCATGTTTTGAGAATGAGCTTTATTTCGATATCTGAGCGAAATGAACCGCCCATCGTGGTTAGTGACAATGAACCACCCATTGTGGCTGACTTAATGGTCAGTCACAACAAATAATGGGGAAGAAATTTGTGTAATTGACTACAAACAAGAACTGCAAGGGCTTGTTATTATTCATGAGGACATTCATTCTCGTTATAAACTTCACATAGCAATTGCAAATACATTTGTTATATAAATATGTTCTTTAATAAAGCATATGGAGTGTTTTCCATCTTTTTGATTCACATAATTGTTTTGGAATGTCCAATCCTAATGGTACAGCAGTAGTATTGCAGTTTGCAAACATTTCAGATTTACAGCAATATTTGTATGTTCTTTCTGAGGCATAGCATTATAATTTGTTTGAAATTGTGCCTGTTCAGTTTACAGAACTTCTTAATTGCACCTCAACCAAAACTGGGAATTTTATCTAGAGTGCAAGGCTCCAAATAATAGAGAATTACAAAAAGCTAAACATTCAAAGGAAAATGATCATGAGAGGCAAAATAGACTTCAAAATATGAGAGAGTATATAAGCAAACAAGAGTGTAATGAAACTGACTTGGCTCGACAATATAGACTTAATAGTGCAAATGTTAAAGCCTTGGTACCCAAGACATTTGTCTTTCAGATGTTTTCTTCAGACGACTTGTCCGATGCACTTCTGTCAATCCCTGATGTCAATTCAAGATAACATACGACTCAATTAATGTCAAAAAAAGTTGATTAATATTGCTAAAATTGATGTTTAAAAATGCATTTGACATTTTCTACTGTGTTAATTGACAGTCCCCATTATCATATTAGAAATGTTCTAGTTTTTTTTGTTAAAAGTGTACCCTTTTATAGATGATATTGACATGTAACAATAAAACCTATTTATGGCACATGTTACTGTGCTGCTGAAATTGACATTTAAATTTGATAGTGCATTTGACATTTTGTACTATTATGTTGACATTTTCTGTTCTTCTTTCAATATAAATTGATCTTACTTTTATTTGAAAAGCATGTAAATCTTCTTCAAATAAATAATATACCAGTTGAGAAAACATAATGCAACCCCCCCCCACCCAATAAGTCAATAACAAACACTTATGTATGGCACTGTATTGCATACATAATGTTTGTTACTATTAATGCCTTATTAAAAAGGTCTTATCAGTATTAATTGCTTGTGTTTAAGATGTAAATATTTCAGACTTCATCAAATAGGTATAGTAAGTTTTGAAGTGTTGTAAGTTTATCTATTCAGACTTAATCACTGATATCACTTGTAATTAAAGTTTTTCAAGCTAATATATAGTTGTTTTCCCAAGGCTGCTGCTGTTTATTGACACAAGAGATTTAAAAAGTCGTATATACTTTCCCAAAGTTTTGGAAAAGAAGAGTAAGAAGTTTCAAACTGTAATTGTTAATTTCGATAAAATAGAAATACCGGTATATGCTGCAATCATGGAATAGTTAATTTTAGACAAGTCTAAATACAATGACAAGTCTAAAGGCAATGTTTTTCGCCGCAAATTTGCAAATCATAGTGCTCTTGGTAAAACAGTTTTCTGGCATGCATTGAGAAATTTTTGGGCAAACTATCGATTATATTTCAAGATACTCGCCTCAATTTAACGTAAAATTATGTCAAATCACAATTAAAGAAATTTTATCGTGCTTCCAACGAAATCGATTTTAGTCCGCGTTTTACTAATTTAGTCCAGTCCGCGTTTTAAAAATTTAGTCCAGTCCGCGTTTCACTAATTTTAGTCCAGTCCGCGTTTTACTAATTTAGTCCAGTCCGCGTTTTACTAATTTATTCCAGTCCGTGTTTTACTAATTTAGTCCAGTCCGTGTTTTACTAATTTAGTCCAGTCCGCGTTTTACTAATTTAGTCCAGTCCGTGTTTTACAAGTCCAGTCCGCGTTTTACCATATGCCTTTCTACAAGCCAAGATATTTACTGCCGAACTATACTTTTTAAACTGAATTTTACAGAAGCGTCAATACGCAAAGCCCTCCAGGAATCTCACCTAAAGACTATTAGTATTTACTATTAGTATTACTATTATAAAGACTATCAATATTTTCATCTATTTTGCTTGGAATACACTCGTTTGGGCGATTCGTAGTGATATTTTCATCAAACGTGTTTAGAAACGAAAAATCCGAAAATTTGCATATAATTATCACCATATTGGCCAAAATTTAACAAAAAATCTCCCTCAAAAAATTTCCCATCAAAAAGGCCGAATACATGACCTCTAGGGACAATTTTACCCCAGGGCTTATTTAGTTAGGCGTCGTTGAGTTTTTGAATGAGTTAATTCATTCAAAAGCTCGGCAACTACGACACAGTTTAATGATATACAGTTATGGAACTCGCGGCGGAGCCCTTTGATGTTGCTGTCCCCCTGCCTACGCCATTCCACTTGCCACGCAAGTGTATTTTGACTCTAAAGTAAGGGAAAAAGGTGTTCGAAAGACGAAAAACGTTAATAATTTAAAGTTGGCTCTATCAATCTCCATTTTTGCGCCTAAATTTTAAAAACAAACGGTAATTGGTTGTGTTTTTGTAAAAAAATATATGCGTTAGGTAAGAAATACAAGCACCAATGATTTTCTTTATAAATATCAAGCTGATTGCCAACATCATCGCCGATTATAAATTAGGCAGTTATTTTTCCATCCAAAAAACATCTGATCTTAAAACAAGCATGATTGATGTGTTTTTTCTACAATTCCAACACACGAAAAAATTTCTTTGAAAATCATTTATTTTGCCATAAAACTAGCAAAAACTACATGTTTTTTATCCGAATCTTGAACTTGAATTCAAAGATTTACAATAAACAAATGCAACTTCTACCTATATATACAATACTTTTTACATGAGTATTAATCCAACTTCACACACAAATGGTAAATGCTAAAAGATATTAATTTCAGTTCATACAAGATTGTAATATTCATGAAGGACATGCAAATCAATTTCGAATCTCATCTATGCAATGCTGTGTGGCTTCTATGAGAAGATTGAAAGCTATTTTCCAATTTTTGGATGTGAATATTTAATGAAAAATACCAAATGAAATGAAAAGTACTCTCTGTGACTACGAGTTTTGGCTGATGGCGTAAGCAAACAACGCGCGAGAATGAGGAGTCCCGTACTCGTAGTCACAAAGGACTATACATGGTAATAATTTCATTTCTTCAAAAGTTGCTCAAATAGAGTTAAACTTCTATAAAAGTTGATATCGAATGACATAACTTGCTTATATAGTACGGAATGTTATTTTATCACTACTTCTGTTTACATGTTTCGCATTCCGGGTTTTAAAGATTCTGGTGATTCTCATTCCAGCTTTTAAAGATTCCGGAGATTCTCATTCCGGTTTTAAAGATTCTCGAGATTCCCGTTCCCCGTTACTGGTTCTTCGTCCCTTGATTCCCCGTTCTTGGTTTTAAAGATAGCCGTCTACGTGCTTCTGAACCACAAAAGCACGGGTTTTAACTCGTAAGACACTTTTTTCACCAGCTTTATGTACATAATATGTCCAAAGAACTCACTAAACTATTTACTCCTACACATATCCTACTCTTCCAGTACCTCTCAGTTTGTGACATTTCTCCCATCAATACCTTTTGTTTATAGTTCGTATTAGAAAGTTTCTTGAAAATGTTTAATTAATCAACTAAGAATCGTGAAGAATTGAAGACAAGCCAACGATCTCAAGATTCTAATGTTGTAGGGCAGTCTTCAAGATCGACTGGAGTTCCTCACGTTAATCTTTTGCAATCTATGCCGGGCACACATTCTTTTAACCAAACCGTTGTTGACAATGATCTCGATTCACAAATGACAGCTTTGGGACTTGAGGAAGCTATGGTGCTTACCTCACAGAGTCCTGTCTTATCTTCTCCAAACCAATGTGAGTCAACGTTGCTTTTACAAATTGTTTTTCGAGTTTTTAACATTGTTGCTGCATGACAATTTTGCGCAAATTGACTAAATTTTTGTAATATTTCTCACAACAACACGTTTTGTTTACAGTGCGAATAAATTATTTTCTTGAAAATGTTGAATCAACTAAGAAACTCACGATATCGTTGGCAGTTCTGGATGATGATCTCCTCTTGAAGAGGTTGGAATCCACAGTTGAAATTCACACGATAGAAATTCACTCCAGGTGTGCGGTACACAAAGTTCTGAGTGTTTATTCTTTGCCCTCTTGTCTAAAGATCCTTCGTATTATTAATAATATCCTAAATTACGATGATATTTTTGCTCTAATTAGATGCTTCGGTAGCGAGAATAATTTACAGGAATTAGATTTATCTCGTACCAAGTTTGAGAAGAATTGTTTCCATAGTTTCATTACCGTCCTTGTGAATTGTAGCAATTTAACAAGATTGATTTTAACTGATAATTGCTTAACTAAAGAAGAAACGTTCGGTCTGTTGGCATCATTAAAATGGACGGCAAGTCTTAGAAATTTAAACCTATCTAAAAATAACCTAACCGTATTCGAGATGCACGGACAGTTTGATAACATTGTTTCATTAGATTTATCGCATAGCGCACTCCAGGGAAACACAAACATAATTGAGATCTGTAAACTGCAAGCACTCGAAGAAATAAACCTCTCTCACAACCACATTAGATTTTCCCCCTTGCCCGAATTCGACACACAACTCGACAAGTTATCAATTAACATGAAAACCATTTCATTATCTTTCAATTACCTGACACCCGAAAACATCAACCAATTTTGCTTCTTAATTAAGTCAAATTTGACGAAACTTTACTTAGATTCTAATCACATATGCAGCTCAATTTGGTCGTTGTGTTCATTAAGTGTAAAAATTAAGCATTTGAAAGTGTTAAGTTTAGCTAATACTGATGTTTGTGTCGCTGTGGATGGTTTGGCATTCCTACTTTCTTTGGCGAAAGAGCTGGAAGAACTCGATTTATCGTCCAATAATCTTGTCTTGGACGACTTTCGCCAACTCCAATTACCATTATCAAACTTAAAGCAGTTAAAAAAATTGAATTTAAGCAACAATCCTGAAGGAGCTTCCGATCTTTTGCAAGAGATCCTGTCTTCTTTCAAAAATCTCCAGGAGTTAAGGCTAAGTAACACACAGATGAATGGTGAGGATTTGGGTAAAATCTCAAACTCACTCGCATCCTTAAGAGATCTTAGGTATCTCGATTTAAGCATGAATGCTATTGATTCAGACGGGAAAAGAACACTTGCGAACTTGTTGAAGGGACTTCCTTTGTTGGAGGGGTTAGACCTGAGCCAATCGTCCATGAGGGGAAGTGATTTAAATGTGTTGTGGAATAGTTTTGCTTCGCTAAAAGTGTTGAAATATCTGAATTTGTCTGGCAATCAGGCCGATGCCAATGCTTTTGAAAACTCCCTGTTATTTGTTCCGTCGAAGAACTTGCTTGGAAGAGCTTATTATCAGTAATGTCATTCATAGCGAAAAGCTCTTTGTTAAAATGTCATCACTTAAGAATCTGAGAAAACTTCACCTCGTTGACATGAGATTAAGAGCGTGTGATGTCGAGGCACTAGCCGCAATGTTGTCGTCTTTATCGATGTTGGAAGAAATATCTTTAGCTCGTACAATGGTAGACTCGAACATTGAAAAAATCTTTAGTGCAATAAGCTGTTTACCCAACATTAAAATTATTGACCTCACTCACGTAAAATTACCTGATGTAGATGCATTGGTTGACATGCTTTCGTCTCTTTTGTTCCTGGAAGAGCTAGTTTTAGTTGGAATATGTGTTGAAAAAATCGATTATAAAAAATTGATTGATGCGTTAGTTTCGTTGAAATCTTTAAGAATTCTCAATCTTCAATGGGCTAAGATGTTGAAGATGCAAAACAACTGTGTTCTGGGTTGGGGAAAATTAGATATTTAAAGGAGCTTAGCTTAAACGTTGGGGACTGCTACCCAGAGTGTATAAACCATTTAGCTGAAGTGTTACCATCACTACATTTGTTGGAAAGGTTTTTGTTGGAATGTGAATATATTATTTTATCTGATCAACACACAGTCGAAAAATTGTTTTCCGCGTTAGGAAGATGGATGTATTTGCGGGATCTCGAACTTGTTCTGCACTTCGGCGATTGTAAAAATGTTAGAAATGTTTTGAAAGGTTTAGCTCAGATGTTATCATCACTGCAGTTATTGGAAAAACTAGTGTTTGATCTGACGTACGACGAGTATGAAGATGACGATGGAGATTATAAAAGCGAAATACAACTGGTCACGACCGCATTAGGAAAGTTGAAGAATTTAAGAGAACTTAAATTATCTGGTGTTTTGAGTGGAGAAGCCATAGTTGAGGTTTTAGCGTCACTGCCGTTGTTAGAGCGATTAATGCTCAGGTTTAAGTATGATTGGATAAGCAGGGATATGTGTAATAATAATATTGGATATGAAGAAAAAATATTTCATTCTTTAGTCAAAGTAAGCTATTTAAATGAGCTTTTTATATATGATACTCCTCCTAGCCCAGATTTAGTTGAGGTCTTGCCATCACTGAGGTTGTTGAAGACGCTAGGGTTAGAGTCGAACGATCATGATAAAGAGACATTGTCATTCTCACTAGGGGAGTTGAAATATTTAAGGAAACTTCATTTACACAAGTTTCACATAAATCAGCAAACTTTATTTAATGGCTCGCGATCGTTCTACTTGTTGGAAAAGCTAAAAATTATTTGTTATGAATTAAGTGCAATGGAACAGCGATTTCAATATTTGGGAATATTAAGACATTTAAAACAGTTGACTCTTTTTGCAGGGACCGCAGAGTGGGGGGGGCTGGGGGGCTTTAGCCCCCCCAATAATTTTCTAAGGCCATAATAATACGAATAAAAACTCCTTATAGTAAGTTGTGTAATCATAATTATGTGTTCACTATCCGTGTCGGTGTACGTTCACTATTCGTCAGATTAACTCAGTTTAACTCCAAACATAGAAGTGTCTTTTGCTAACACACGGCTTCGTTCAAACCTCTATGTGAGATTTTCGACGAGGACGAACATTAGACGAACATCTGCTATGGATAATTTAAGGGTGAATTTTGATGCATTATAATTAGCGCTACTTGAAGTCTTTACCAAAAGAAATCTTGACGCTGCTGTGCAGCCACCATTTATGTGTGAATTTAATTATAAATAATTCAAATAAAGTAAATGAATTTGTGCATAATGTTGGCATTAATGAAGCAGTTAGGCGTTGTTCTAACTTGTTGTTTGTTTGCGGTGAATGTATATTCGGTGATGGAAATGCGTCCAAACAAAATATTCACGAAAAGAATAGTTATCCAACAACCGGTCTACGTCCCTATATATATAGTCAGATACAGAGAAAAATTTTTGAAGCGAAGAAATGCCTACAGTAGTGGTCATCCCGGCTCGTACAATCCGTCAGTCATTACAAACCAAGAATCCCATATGATCTATGGAAATATGGAAGGAACTAGGAGCTCAACAAAGTCAAAGGAAAAGTGCAAAACAGCGAAGAGACTGAAGGCTAAAACGATTTCAGATTATTTCTCAGCTGCGCCTGCTAGTAAGTACATCTTAGTTTGACTATAAAGTAATTACCCGTATTACTTTATATTTACATCATTTTACACATGATGCCAAATCTGAACATTTCAGGACATGAAACAAGAACGATTAGCTACCATCCTGTACAGAGTTCCGTCTCCAAATCTGTCATCCCAATAACCCAATTTTCCACTTGTGCAAGTGACCCATCCAGTCCATTGGTTACACCATCAGTTGTGGGCTCAACTTCTTTCAACGAACCGGAGCCACTGGCAGCCATACAAATCCCATGTGAGAAAACATATATAACATCTTATATGAACCCACACCAACCGAAGAACTTTGAGTTTCCTAAAAGGATAATAACCGGGCAGAATCGTTCTTTTCAGGCTTCATGGTTTGATCTGTTTTCTTGGCTACACTATGATGAACAGCGTAACTCCTCCGTCCTTTGCTTTTATTGCGCACAGCAAAATGCCCAAGGAAACCTAAGGTGTGCTAGCAAAAAAATAAAAAGTTCACCTCGGATGGGTTTTGCAATTGGAAAAAGGCCATAGATAAATTCAGACAGCACGAATCTTCGGAATGTCATAAGATGGCAATTGATTATGCAATAAATTTCACAAAGAGCTACGGCAATATAATCGAAATGACTAATGAGGAGAGCAAGAAAGTACGACAAACTAATCGCCGCTGTTTATTGAAAATAATTGAAAACTTGCAATCTTTATGTAGACAAGGACAAGCTATACAAGGAGACACTGACGTTGAATCGAACTTTTATCAGTTGATGAAACTTCGGGGCAAGGACGATCCTGCGTTACTTCAGTTGATTAAAAAGCAAGGCGGTTATAAGTACACAAGCCATGATGTACAAAATGAAATCATTGAAATTATGGCGCATCAGGTTCAACGGGACCTTATAAGGATATTGGGACAGGTTTCTTTGCCATAATAGCTGATGAATACACAGATATTGGCAATAAAGAGCAGTTGACTATGTGCTTCAGGTGGATTGATGAAAAGCTTAGTGCGCATGAAGACTTTCTCGGATTCTACAGTATCCCAAATATTGCCTCTGAAACAATTGTTTCAGCAATCAAAGATAGCCTCATTCGACTACAACTGCCAATGTCCCAGTGTAGGGGACAGTGTTATGATGGCGCCAGTAACATGCTTGGCAAAAAATCTGGTGTGGCAAAACAAATTCAGGAATGTGAACCAAAGGCTCTTCCCACACATTGTCATGGTCACTCGCTAAGTTTATCTGTCAAAGACGCAACAAGTCATTCCAAGATCTTATCTGACACCATGAATAACACGAATGAGATAGTTAAACTCGTGAAGTACTCACCCAAACGAGAAAATTTATTCGGAACATTGAAGGAAAACCTTCAATACGAGGATGAAATGGATGAAGATGCGGTAGCTGGTGGACTAACAAAATTTAGTGCGACTAGGTGGACGGTTCGAGCAATCTGTTTTGAGAGAGTGATTGACAATTATGAAGTTCTTTTAAAGCTGTGGGACGAATGCCTTAAAACAAAACTTGAACCAGACGTCCGTGGTCGAATTATCGGATGTAGTACCCAAATGAAGTCTTTTGACTTTTATTTTGGATTACATCTTGGCATGATGATTTTTAGGCATACGGACAATTTGTCAGCAACTTTACAGAAGGCAAATATGTCATCGATTTCTGGTCAACGTAACGCCAAGCTAACAACCGATGCATTGAGAGGAATACGAAATGAAGAATGTTTCAAGGCTTTTTTTCAAACCGTTTTAAAAAAGAAAAAGACCCTGGCAGATATTTCGGAACCCAGATTACCAAGAAAGAGAAAGGCACCGGCAAGATATGAAATGGGAGAAGCAGAACCTTGGCACCCCAAAACATCAGAAGATTTGTACAGAAAAATTTATTACGAAGCCCTTGATTTGATTACATCGGCTATTAATGAACGTTTTGACCAGCCCAGTTTTAAAAGCTATTCGAAGCTAGAAGCCCTTTTACTAAAGTCCTTAAAATCAGAAGACATTTCCCTTGAACTGGCATTTGTAAAGGAGCTTTACCCTCAGGATATAAAAGTAGAGTTTCTTATCCCGCAACTGGAAATTTTTAAAATTCTGATGAAGGATAAAAAACCAGAATGCTTTGCTGATATCATAGACGCAGTGAAAAGTCTGGATAACCACACTAAACTAATGATCGGTGAAGCAATTACCATCTGCAAACTTTTATTGGTTAATCCGGCAACTAGCGCAACTGGTGAAAGATCATTTTCAACGGCACGACGATTAAAAACATGGCTTAGGGCAAATATGTCACAAAAGAGATTTAATCATCTGGCGATACTGCACACCCACAAAACACGAACAGAAAGTATAAATTTAGTGGACGTAGGCTAGCCAATGTATTTGTATCAAAGAACGACAACAGAAAACGAAATTTTGGCACATTCACAGAGCAGGATCCAAACTACAATTTCGAAATTTGATTTAAAAACTTCAGTAAAAATAGTGTGACTTTGGAATTTTCTATGGCGACGTTATGGTGGCTATATTTTATTTTATTTTATTTGTTTGGAATTGTTTTGTTACATATGTCTAAGCTGTAGCTTAAGTTTACGTCTTCACAGTCAATGATTATTCATTGCAGGTATAAAGATTTGTTCGGTTCGTTTAGGTACGCTGGTGTTTGTTTGCATTTCTACGGTTCCTTCTATGCATTAGTAGCTAGTTTTCATTGAAATGTTTACAAGAAAAATATATATAGATAAGTATGGACCCCCCCCGAGGGTTCACTTTTTCGGCTTCGCTAGCCCCCCCAATCCAAAAACTGCTCCGCGGTCCCTGTTTTGTCGAAGAAATTTTAGTTGATTCCTTATTTCCTATTGTGTCACTGTCGTCACTCGAGAAGATTGAGTTGATCTGGATATATTTTGATAATGACAATGCAAAGCAGCTGTTTGCTTTATTACTTGAAGTAAGATCTCTAAAGAAACTTTATTTAAGCTATGGTTTTCGCAATTCTTCCCAAGTTCTGATAGACGCTCTAACTGAGGCGTTACCAGCAATGAAATTTTTGGAAAAGCTGTCGTTGAATTGCATTAATTTTACCAAAGTCAAAGGAGAGAAACAACTAATAACTGCAATAGGATCGTTGAGTTTTTTGAAAAAACTTGATTTATATGATACTACAATTACCCAGGCCTTTCCAGAAGCTTTAACTGTTGTGCTGCCAAATTTATACAACTTAAGACGTTTTACGCTACCACGTTTTGAATACCAAGATCTTACGCAACGTGAAAAACTCGAGGAGGCTCTACGCCGGGTACTTCCTTCGGTTATCATCAGGTAATACTAGACACGTGCAAAAATTTGTCAGAGACTTTTTGATATTTTATACCATTATGTCGCAGTCATTCAGATAGTGATAAAGGTTCTGAAACATCTATTTCAGGCACCCATTTAGCAGAAACGCTGAAATCACTCCTGGAAAATGAAACCCTGAAAATAAATGACAATATTTCCAAACACTGCAACACTTACCAGTAATAATCAATTGTTGTTGACTTTTTCGTTGTCTCAAACACTAGTTAAGAATTCAACAGAAGTCGAGTGACAATATTGTAATCTGCAGCCGTTGACTGAGAAGCATTTCACGCAGAACACACACGCATTTATACATTGCATTTATGTAACGGTAAAGTGTTTTGTATCCTGTAGAAGGTTTTAATTATTTCAATTGTTCATTGAAAGAACACTTCCGAATTTGCATAGCTGGCTATTGTAAAACTTGATTACATGAATAGGAATCAGTTGTACGAAAATAGTTTAATTAGCTTGACGCAGTAATGGAAATTTGTTTCATATTTCAACGTAAATCATTTCAGTCTCGTGTTTGATATTTTTCAGTTCAGCTTGTGCGGTCGATGTTAGTAGCTACGTTTTTATTATATGACATGATTTGTTTCAAAGAATATTGTCAATAGTTATCGTGTCGTCGTAAGTGAAAATGAATTATTGAAGTATAATTTGAAATTCAAAATGGCTACCAAATAACGATGCTATTGGTCAGGAATTTCCAAACAATATTTTAGAACTATAATATCCATCAATGAAAGCATCTTTAAGATATTTTAGAATCTCAATATATTCCTATAAGTGAGCTGTTGTAATTTATTTTCACTTACACTAAATCCGCCCTGCAACGCTCTGAACTGTGTGATTTTGAACTGTGACATTTTCATTTTCCGAATTATGAAATTCGCATTCAGAATGCTCCTCGTCCCTAATTAGTTTTACAATTTTACTTTTTGTGAAACAAATGGTCTGAATTTTAACGTTTGTGTGATTGTAAACCTCGAAAGGCAATAAAAATGAAGCCCCTGTCGGCTTTGTGAAATAATTCTGCTATTTCAGCAACCAAATTATCGGTCATTCAGGTGCGCCAACTCATGTTTGTCATATAATAAAAAAATAGGTACGCAATGCGTACATGTGGGTAGCCTGTAAAACATTATTAACTGCGATAAAGCTGCTATAGTAGCAAGTAAATATCAACTGATGCAATAAAATATTATTTTCTAGTCTTATGTTCTAATGCCATAGACAAGGGAATAAACGCCCTATAGTTAGCTGGTTGAATACAGTTATAACGAAGTCAATTTAGTACACAAGCTATATATTATAATATTTTATTGTATTAAATACATTTTAGACAGATCAAAACATACATAAGTATTTTTACAAGAGATAGGAAATGACATTTTTGCAGAATAGGTGGAGAGAACAAAAAAAGACAGTAAGGTTCCGGGATGGTGGCACACATCATCTGATAACATAAAGCTTAGTTAAGAAGGAGAAAAAGGTTTCAGACTTTTTCAAATGATCATCGTTTTGATGTCCTTTGATTATCAGCAAGATTGGCTATTTTGTTGATAAATCAATGTTATAGTTATGTTAATATTCAATAAAGGTTAAATGTTATTGTTCCAGTAAGATTATACCACTTGTTTTCCAAAGTTTATTGGCAATACGTTCACCATTATAACTGAAGATGATAGTATGATTTCATTGATCCAGTAAGAAGGTAGAGATGGTTTGCAATGTTGATTACAGATAACTTATCAGCATGAATTAGCTGGACATAATAGCACCAGTTCGTAGGTCCAAAAAATCTCTGTGGCTTTTTCCAAGTTTGAATTTAATTATCAGTTGACAATATCTTATCACTGTGGTAATCAGTCCGACAATCAGTCAACATTGAATGCCATCATTCATCATTGATATAAATGTGTAAAAATTGTTTCAAACATTTCAGCATAACAATTTCAAAGGACTCATCTATGTATCTGAACAATATTTTAAAGATTTTTGTTCAGTTGAAATGCACTTGTGTTAAAAGTTTTGTTTTTTAAAAAAATATGTTTTGTTAGTTATGTTCAAATAAATGCTTCTTTTTAAACTCCAAGACATTTGGTTTAGTAGCTGCATGTCCACAAGCAAGAAATTGACAAGTGAAATATTGCATTATAATTTATAAAACAGGGCAACTTGTTACTACCATTTGCAATAAGGTAATGTATTTGGTTTAATAGCTGCATGTCCACAAGCAAGGAATTGACAAGTGAAATATTGCATTATAATTTATAAAACAGGGCAACTTGTTACTACCATTTGCCAAATTATAAGGTAATGTATTTGGTTTAATAGCTCCTGAGCTGCATGTCGACAACCAAGAAATTGACAGGTGAAATATTGCATTTTAATTTATAAAACAAGGCAACTTGTTACTACCATTTGCCGAATAAGGTAATGTTTCTATTAGTGTAACTTTGTAGTTGTAGATTCAACGCTCACCGATTAACGCTTTTTCGTCTTTTAAGTACTCGCCTTCGCTTTAAAATTTGACAAACGTATTAACGTGACTTGGGTTGCTTCGAATTCCGTCCTTCGAAAACAACGAAATTTTCCGGAAGTAGAAGAACCACCGTTCGTCATCTTTCGTATATCCGACGATTACCGAAGATGTGGCACCCACACACACACAAACATCCGGACACTTTTTCGACTACATAGTGGTTAGCCGCGCATGCGCAGGCTACCCACAAAAAGTGTTAACTATTAATAACTTGTTGACTTTCTACAAATTATCACCGCAACCTTAGTTAGACAAGAGGGATCTTTTAAGAAAGTGAATATACGAATGTGGGACGACAGTCATAAGCCGGAAATGTAATTTAGTTATCGTAAAGAAATGGTGGTCGTGTTCTTAGAAAAACCGTGCAGTTTCAAGTATTCATTTCTTCATTAAAATTCGACGGAATGTCGTTGCAATAAAAACTTGCTGAATAATGTCGTCCTGCGTTCGGGAGAAATGCTTGATCATTTCTGATATTTCAGAGCTTATATTTCATAGAAACTGTGGCGTAACATACTATAAGATGCATTTCGTACATTTTTGGTGCTGTTTGTTAGTAATTATATCTTATGCTTTTATCCATTCCTTCATCTATCCTATCGTAGGCTACACCAATGGCGACATTAGTTTCTCCTGTTTGTAAAAACAACTCGAAACATACATATTCTTAAGAAACATAGAATATTTTGAAAGTGAGAAAAAGTACATTTCAGGACTTTGAATCATTCACACCATATGTACAGTACTGCCCAAAAATAACCTAACGAAAACCGCGGTTAACCTAGGTCAAACTTCGGTCTGATCACGGTTGAACCGAGGTCGAACCGAGATGAGACGGAGGTTAAACCTCGGCCTTACTCGGTCTGACAGACATTTTTTTCAGATTTTTTTTTATTTGGTTATCGTGTTGTCGTTCTCAGCTGTTCATAACATTCCGTTGGGAAGCGAACGGCCACTGCGAAGGTATTTTTTCCTTCGCGGTCGTCTGGGGTTTCTATCGGTCGACCGCAATCGAACAGCAACCGCAGTGTTAGGTTATTTCTGGACAGTACTGTAATTGATATCATGAAAATATTTCAGAGTTTCCATGTTTTTTGCTACATCATTTCCAAGATTCGCAAAATATTTCCAAAACATAGTAATTCAGAAAAATTTAAACGTTAATAAACTTTCAAATTTACTTTTCAATTTGCAACGGCTATCGACCTCTTTCCAATGTCGTTTAAAGACTAGAGTCGTCATTGCATGCAAAACATTCAGGGCGGTATAATAATTTTTCCAAATTTTTGACATGAATAGCCATTGTTTTATAATATTATAAGCTAACGTTTGGATAATCGAAAATTGTTGTGTTGTAAGCGTAAATTGATGTGTATTAAGTTAGACGTACGAGTCGTTGACATTGATTTCAGCAAAATCAAAATATAGTTTTGGAAATAATGCATGTAGAGTTAATATGTTAAGTTGAAAAAACTTTTACCAT